CTGATATGTTAGCATACAGTTTTCTAGATGAGATGATCTACGGATCTATAGATTTTAAGAACCAATCAAAAATTTTCGAACAACCAACATTCTTCGATCAGTGTTCTGTTACACAAAATCCTTTTTAGAAATCTCCCGGACTGAAATATTTATGAAAACGTTCGAAACGTAATTATTTTGGCCTGAATTATTGAGATCACATGATATAATTTTTAAATGACCAGATCATTTGTCATTTAATTGAGTCATTTGAGGTCATTTGGCTTGAATAGTATCCGGTACTAATGTCAGCACTGTTCGGTCCTAAAAAACGGTTTAATAATGCGAATAACAATTTAAAAACTCGTCCCAAGATTTATTATAAAAACTCCGTTTTAATATTGTTGAAATTCTGGGTATATTTATAATATTATATTCATCTAACAAATAATACAGAACTGAAAATTAATAATCGATATTCCATAGCGCAGTATTATCACGCAGCAATAATAAACGATTTTTAATTTTTTTTTTTTTTTTTTGAGGAACGGATCGAAAAATTCCAATGACGAAGTTTTCAGTACATGATATTGAAAAGTATTGGCAAATTTTCGTTTGAATAAAACGAGATATTTTAAAATTGGGTAATGTAAAAAATCTTATTTTAGAAGCCCATCATCACATCACATTTATGGGAAATCAATATTATGTCTAAATAAGGTTCCGGGAATCCATCTTTTATTATTATGGTTAAATTAAAATGATCCGTATATAATTAGGGGCGTAACTTTGTCTAACGTAATGCAACTTTTGACAAACCCTCTTCATTCTTTGTTTAAACATTTTTGTGACAAAAGATGACTTCGAAATTTTCGAGTGAATTATTCGACGATTATGAAAAACTTTTTGAATCAGGATTAGGATATGACGTTGTAATTTACGCGGGAGAAGAACCAAACGTTAAAGAAATTCATGCTCATTCAAGTATTTTATGCATTCGATCGCAATATTTTCGTTCAGCATTTTCTAATGAATGGGCCAAAAAGGAAGGTGGTCGATTAATTTTGAAGAAACCAAACATTTCGCCACAATTGTTTGATATTATACTTAGGTAAACAAGATATTATTACATTTATATGAAGGAATAAATTAAAAAAAAAAAAAAAAAAAAAGTAAAAAAGAAATTGAGTTGAATTAATTAATATATTCATTTAATCATTTATTTGTCAACCTAGGTTTATTTACTGCGGAAAAATTGAATTGAAGAAATTAAAAGGACCGGAAGTATTGAAATTGTTGATAGCAGTTGATGAGCTTAATATTCAACAATTAATTCCTCACATTCAAGAATTCTTGTTTGAATATCAAAAGGAATTTTTAAATCAAAATCCGATTGGATTAATGGAGACGGTCCATCAGCACGAAAAATTCAAGGATTTATGGAAGTTTTGCCTTGAAAAGATTTGCGACGCTCCCGAAATCTTATTTAATTCCGAAAAATTTACGAGTATGAATGAGTCATTATTGGAGTTATTACTAAAACGAGACGACTTGAACATAAATGAAATTGAAGTTTGGAATAGTCTATTAAAATGGTGTCTTGCGCAACGGAATCTGAGGAATGAGCCGACCGAGTGGAGCAAAGAGGATATTGTAAAGTTGGAGGTGACATTGAGCAGATTTATTCCTTTAATTAGATTTTATGATATTGAACCGACGGATTTCTTTTACAAGGTTTATTGCTATAAAGACATACTACCTCAGGATTTAATTCATGACCTTTTAGAGTTTCATGTGGTTCCTAATTTCAAGCCTAAAGGTAACATAGCACCTTCACGGAAACCGAATTTAAAGTTTAAACTTGATTCAAACCTAATTGATTCAGAATACATTCCACTCTTTGCTTCATGGATTGATAAAAAAAGCACATCACATTATAATAGAAAAAGTACACCTTATAAATTTAAGTTATTGTATCATTCCGATCAGAACGGATTTAATGCTACGGAATTTCATAAAAGCTGCGATAACATGGGTGCCACCATTTGGATAGCCAAAATTCAAGATTCGACGCAACTCATTGGCGGGTATAATCCACTTGATTGGAATGGGGACATTGCTAAAGTTACGAGGGATAGTTTTCTATTTAATTTTACGGATGGAAAGAACATTTCAACCGTAAAAGTTGGTTACTTTAATGATACGAATAAATTATATTGCTATAGTAACGAGGGACCCAGTATGGGTAATTTATATTGTCCGAATAGTAATAATTGGACCATTAGTCGTCAGGTACCTCAATATCCTAACGTAGGCATCCCAGATAGTTTCACTGTGGAAATTTTTGAAGTATTTCAAATAAAATAGAAATCACTTTTTACAATTTATTGGCAAATTCAATATCTGTAATTTAAACTTTTAAAAAAAAGGTGTGCTTCGTTGCTAACCTTTTGCTTTTGAATGGAAATGAGATTCAATTTGATACTAATATTTTTAATACCTGCTTTTTAAAATGGAGCGTATTGGTTGAAATTCATGTGTATTAATGAAAAAACATAACAAATGTAATATTAAATGTGTGGGATGCGCACGCTCAAATTTTATAAATCAGAAAATAAAATCAATAGAAATGATAAGAAATACAAATTTTTTTAAGTTATTTATATCAAATTCAAATTTTACTTTTGTGAAGAAATATTACAAAAAATCATAAAGTTATAAATTAATGTGGGAAAATTTTAATATTAAAATATTGGAATTCAAATATTGAATGCATTGAAGTGAACTAATTATTATTATTATTATTATTTTGATTTTCAGAATTCATCCTTATACAAGTCCTCCAAATGTCTTTTTGTTCTCTGTACATTTTGATTTTGCATTTCACTTGTTCGTCCTTTCTTAGGAAAATAAAGGAGTATTACTATTAGGAGTATACATTGTAGTCGACAAAAAAAAAAGGATCAGAAAGAAGAGTTCTTAATAAAAATATATTCATGTATCTAAGATACGATTGCTATAATGTTCTTCACATCAAAAATCTTTTATCGTCAGAAAGTCAAAGATCTGGATTAGACCCGATACCACCAAAATTCCAACATTGAACTGATAAACGTGAATTCTGGTCATTCCTATTCATTATGCTTAAGAGGAAGAACCGTGACAATAAGTGGCATGCGCCCATGTTTAGTAAACATGACAGTAGACTCTCTTTAACCGAAGTAAATGGGTGGAAAGTGGAAATTAATGTATCACGGTCGTTAGCGAGGTTTTAATGCATCCAAATTTATTATTTCTATTTGTTATTATTTTTAAATACACTTTTAATAGCTGTTATTTGCTCCCCATTTTACCAGTTTTATTTGAATAGCTTTTTTAAATGTAGTCGCAATGAGCAAATTTCCTTTGTCGATCTTAAAAGAACAAAAGTAAAGGCGTGAACAAAAGTTCTATAAAAGAAAATCCGTTGCCGATCTTAAAAGACAGTAAATCATAATCTATAAGCACGTTCTAAATTGTGGTGTATTAAATGAGTAAATCATCTCGTTGAGTGACTTGCTCGGCTTCTAATTTTTTAGCTCGTCGCCTACTACTAATTTATTGTAAAAGTAAATCTTTTGTATATTAGGAAAGAATTGAACACATTTATTTAATGAAAAATTGTTCAAACTGCTTTAACGTCCAAATTTATAACATTATCATAAATTATTATCAATTAAATTAATTTCAATTTTTAAATGACTTGGTACCAGACAAATTAACTCGAGTTATAATATAACTGCAAAATTCATCACAGAACTAGTTCCTGGAGAAGCTACATACAATCACTGCATTAACGGGTTTGTTAAAGGAAGTGGATTTTCCCGGTGAAAAGTACAAAACTCAGTATCAAAGTTATAGTATGAAGTACAACTATCTACTCATGTTCTACATAATTTAACTTTTTATTTGGTTGAAATATTCCTTGTGGAAAAAATAACAATACCTGGATGGCATAAGTCATAAAGATCTTTAGATGGAAACATCAAGGAAGTTGATTTCTTGATTTAATTTTTGATGCCATTTAATTTTTTAATTTATTATGGATGCGATGTAAGTGTTTCTATATATAAGCCGGGAGCTCTTTTTGGTACAAGATGTGAAAGATATAGCGTGTATTTATTAGGAATGCATTTAGAGACTTGTCTTTTGCAGAAATTCGTAATGACAATAGATTCAGGCATTATTGGCATCAATATTTATTAATGCTTAAGTAACGATAAGAAAAATGATTAGCAATTTTTTGTAGGATTTAAACATGTCTGTCCTTCTACATTTCTGTATTATATGATGCAATTTAAATTTTTTAAAAAATAATCATATTTACCATAATTACATTTTTTGTATGCGTTTCTCGAGTTATTTTATAATATATAAAAGCAAAAATCATTCATAAATTTTTAAGTCTTATATATATTATATTATTTTTTATTTTTATTTTTTATTTTTTCTTTCTGATTAAATTATTTATATTAAAGAAGATTATATTTATTGGATAAAAAAAAATAATTTTTGGTTAGATTGGAAAGCTTGCAGACTTTTTTTTTTTTTCTATTGTTGATAAAGCCTCAGAAAAATTATTGAATAGTGCAACAAATTTCATTTTGTTCTGATTTGATTTGAAGATTGTTCCTTATAGTCTGCATAGGATGTTGATTTATAAATGGCAGCTTGTTTTCGCTTACGGAAGAACAACAATAAACTTCCACCTGTCAGCAAAAGGAAAAATATTATTCCTAACACTAAACCAACTATTATTCCAACCCTTACAGGTGCATGTAAATTTTCGTTGATGTTGCCAGAGGAGTTCGGTGTACTTTTAAAATCTAAATTTTTCGGGGTATAATTCTCTTGCCATTCGTATGTGGTTGTATCTGGTGAAACAAAATTTATTTATGAGCATTAATGACGAACCTAATATTCAAAAATGATAAGAATGATCATTACCAAGGACATAAATATTATCATCTACTACGTCTCCAACATTCGTAGAACCTATTAAATAATAATTAACGAAATAAGTATCACGTGATACAGAGAGCTTTCTTTTTTGAGTACATACTAATTACACCGAAAGCGATCAGCATATTGGTTCCAACCATCGTAGCCGTATGTGAATATCTTGATGGTGGTATTCTCCCTCTAGCATCAATTAATCTCCAAGTATATTGTAATGTTGTTGTATCCAAAATCGCAATATCATTATATAACACACTATAATTTGCGTTTGCGCCACCGTGTATGATCACTTTACCGTCTTGTGCTGCGTATAGAATAAAAAAAATTATATATATTTAGAACATTATAATATTCTAGATGGTTTTAATCAACTTCAACTTACTTCCTACTGCGACATGATCCCTACGTGCCAAAGGTAAGTCACCAACTGCAATCTTAAATAAAATTTAGTTAACATAAAAGTTTTTCAAAAAAAAAAAAAAAAAAATCATCCTTTCTGCTATGATAATTTAGAATAATACCTGAACGTTCCACGTTGAAGTTAATGTATCGTAAACGAAGATTTGACTCATGTTTACTAATGTGTCTGCAAATTCCCCGGAATACCCTCCAATTACGTACATTTTTCCATCCGGCAAAATTGTTGCTGTGTGATGAAATCTTCCCGGCGGTATTTTTAGATCTACCTTTAAATCATCCAAGATGTTTTGTCTTGTATCTAATCTAAGTAAATCCTGTAATTGAACTCTTACTGAAACATTAGGATCATCCGTTTCAATACCACCATAGATATAATTCATGGAATCACTTAATCTTGTAACAGCCGTGTGCTCTCGCAATTTTATCGGCAAAGTTACATTAGGGTTAACCCAATCAGGGGATTGATCTGAAGTATTATAATAAAATAATGGGTTTTCTGGCACTGGGTCAGGGTAATTCCCACCACATAACACAAGAAGTTCATTTTGTGGTCCGCCTACACTAAGCGTATGTTCCGCTACCCTTGGGCCTACCGAACGTATTGTCCAATTGGGATCCGACACTGTGAAAGGTTCCGTCATGTCAAGAATGAGGAGTTGGTTTGTATTCTGTCTAGTATCATTAAAATTATTATTAATCTCTCCTAATTTTCCTCCAAAAATATATAATCTATGAAATATTAAGATGAAAATATTAAGCATCAGCACAGTATTATTTATATATAATATACACGTATAAAAGGGTACGACTAATTTTTTAATACCTACATGTTATCTAAAAGCACGGCTCCATGACCCCATCGAGCTTCTGGATCAGCATTTGTGCTTTGTATTAAAACGAAGGCTAACGAAGTGATTAGAATTAGTGGGTTGATAAAAATCATTTTTTTTTTTTTTTGCTATTTTTTTCAATTGCAACTTTGGAATAAACAAAACAAAAAAGTACGTTTAAATATATTACGCGTGATGGGCCATTATTTATAAATAATATGACGATCGACGGATTTACCGAGATTTTCAAAATGATATAACCAATACTTTTTGTTTAAATATAAATGGATGCATCCTGAAACAAAAAATTTATTTCGGTAATGAGCATGCAAAAAAGGTTAAAATGTTATCGGGTTTGGACCCGTTACCTATAAAAATTGATGATGTTTTTCAAAATTCATGCATTTTTACTGGTTTCATGAATCATCAAATTTTAATGATAAAAATATCTTTTTTAAATAATCGAGTCCAGAAATGGTTAAGTTCCGAAAATCCGTTGATAAAAATTTGATTACTTCTTGATGGTAAATAATAACATATTTAACAGTTAAATTAAAAAATTTTAATATAAGTGGAAATTACGTTCAATTTTCAATAATTCAAAGAATATGCATAAGGTATGACGATGAATTTAAAGTAAAAATTTGTTCCTTTGAAATATTCCAATTATGAATTAAATTCTTTCATTCAATATTTATTGTAGTGTTTCTAAATTTTTAATAATGAATGAAATAATACATATTACGAGTAATACATATTGTTGCAAGACCAATAATTCGTGACTTTATTTTGATTCCTTATAAACTGACAAAACGTATATACTTTGTTGTTTCAATGCGAATCAATATAAAAATAAATTCGTAAAACTTTAAACAAAGCAGTTTCACAAACGGTTGATTTAGTATAAAGAAATCATATTTCGTCTTTTTATCATATTGTTTCACAACACCATATTTTTCATCATTTAGTACGACGCATGAGACCTCACTACCAAGTACTTAACTGTTGAATAATTTTGCATGAATTGATAATGTTACAGATCCCTACTAAATTCATTCAATACTCCCGCATAATCGTACTTTTTTTTTTTTTGAATCGATTTGGTTGTACGCATGGTTATTTATGCCAATATCTCGGCACTGTAAATTTTATATAAATCTTTTTTTCGCATTATTTTACAAATATTAATCATACATGTCTTCATTATTTACATTGTATTCGCGATTTGCAAATGGCACTTCACATCGTTATGAAATGTTGATCCGAAAAAAATATTATCATTCACCGGACATTATTAGAGACATGATTTTCGGTCTAACAGATGGCTTAACGATACCATTTGCCTTGGCGGCAGGATTATCTTCTTTAGGACATAATTACATTGTAATTTTAGGTTGTTTAGTTGGTGAGTACTTTCTTTATCTATCCGTCCATATCGCAATTGATTTTCTATGATGGTGCGTCATGCATAATTCGTTTTTAAGAATTGATAGCAAGCACGATATCAAAAACAGCAGGTGGATGGGCAACGTCAAAAGCGGCAGAATATCATTATTGGGCTTAGAGAAACGCGGAAGAATTCAAAGTTCTATACTACCTAGAATCTGAGATTCAAAAAACAATTGGTAAATTCATTCCCGGTTTTTTCTTTAATGAAAAAAAAAATTTTTTTTTTTTAATTATAAGAAGAAAATCCTTTTTCGAATGAATAATAGATAAAATGCAACCTTATTAGCTGGATTATCAAGCTTTAGCGCATTTTTTGAAAAGTTATCCAATAATCCCGAGAATTTGTAGAATTTATCATGAAATTTAAATTTAATCTTGAAAAACCCGATCCTGCACGTTCTTTAGGTGGGTCAACTTAAACGTTTATGTATTTCACATTTTTCTTTAATTAAATGATTTTATAAAAAAAAAAAAAAAAACTTCTTTAAAATAGGCAAAGCGCATTAGTAATTGGAGCATCATATTTCGTATCTGGATTAATTCCGCTATTGCCATACTTCTTCATTAGAGATTGTGTAACTGGATTATACGTCTTCACATTAAGTTGCTTAATTTTATTTGGATACATTAAAGGTACACTTGCCCCAATAAGGCTATCTGGGGCGCCATCGAATTTTGTTTTCGTTGAGTTTAGCGTAGCCAAAATCTGAGAATAGAATAATAAAATGTCAAAAAAAAAAAAATAGGGTTTCCGAGATTCCAAAACTCATTTGCAATTAGAATATTTGAAAATTATTATGTATCCGGGTACTACAGTTTGGTTTGTCTATTTGTACTTCCTTCGGGTCAGAGGAATTGGTGAAACATAAGACACCCGGTTTATGGGGTACAATTTGTAAAATACCCGGAGTTTATATATTCTTTAAAAGACGAAAATTAAAAATAAAAAAATTGTAGAATTGTTCGAAAAAAAGTGCATTGCGTTTTAATTCCCAATCAAAGATTTTATTATAACAGAAAATATAAACAAAATTTATTTTTTTTGCGATCTATTATCTCCGATCGTATTATTTACAAAACTTTATTCAAGCTTTTGACCTGCAACCATTTTAAAAGTATTGCATCGGGTACAAATATTAACAATTAAATTAACCTTAGGTTTCGACGAACTATAATAGTCGAAACTTAAATAATCGACGAAAGTCAAATTATTATTATATTAAACTTATTTGATCTTTATTTTTTTTAATTCTCGCAAAATTTTAGAAAAAAATTTTTTGATTAATTAAATAAATATGGGATTTCCACTGCGTACCCGTAAAAAATGTCAAGAAAGTTCACGTGATATGTTTTGTCACCGGTGACACATCCCTCCATGTTTAATTTTACCAAGTATTATGGAGACAGAGAATTTTTAGTAGTTCTCTCGACTGTTAATAGATTTTAGCATTCATAATTAGCAAAGTGATATACATTTCAACATATCGAAATAAAAAATATTTTGTGCTCAGAGGACTGTCAACGCCATATCGTGTTGCAAACATCATATCGTGCTAAATAAGCGTGCAGAGGATATTTACTAACGTGCAGAGGACGTGATAAAGGCACTATAGAGATATGGCTCTAAACATGCTGCTGCGATGAGACAGAGGAAAAAAGATAAATCTAGTTTCTTAACCAAAGCAATAGAAGAGGTGAAAAGCAAAAGTGCACTAGACACATCTATCTCTTAAAGGCCCAGCCACACGGTTTAATCATCGCAATAAGTCTATTTCAATTGTATAGAAA